TGCCATGTGTTGTACCTATGCAACTGTCTTGCATGTTCTGCACATGTATCCAACGCCTAAAATGCAATAAAAAATTTAAAATAAATAAATAAATTTGCCATTTTCCTAAACCTGTAAAATATTATTCAGTGATGATCTCTTCCAAGCAAATTTAATTCAACCAAAATGGGAGAATGACCAAAAAAAAAAAAGAAAGAAATGTGGCACATATACATATGGAATATATGCAACCATAAAAAGTGTGAATTTATGTCTTTGCAGGGGACATGGATTAAGCTGGAGAACACATCATTCTCAGCAAACAACCACCGAAACAGAAAACCAAACACTGCACGTTTACTCATGAGTGGGAGCGGAATGGTGAGAACACATGGACACAGGGAGGGGAACATCATACCAGGGCCTATTAGGAGTTGGGAGGCTAGACAAGGGATAGCATGGGAGAAATACAGATGTAGCTGATGGGGTCGGGCGATGAATGCAGCAAACCACCACCTGGCATGTGTATGCCTATGAACAGATCTGCATGAGGGACATGTACCCAGAACTTAAAGTATAAGAAAATTTGTAAATGTGTTTGAGGAAAGTACGAAGTGTTTTTAAAAAAATCAAATATTCTCAACTGAATCTCTTGTCAGAGAAAGCAGATGATTTTACAAAAAAGGTGAAGTGATAGTTCAGTTTTCCAAAACACCCTCAACATATGCTTGTTCTTTGCCTTTTTTGCCTTTTCACTGGGTAAAATTTTGATAGTGAATGTGAGAAGAAATGCACTGGGCAGATCTGTAGATCATAATTCGCTGAGCAATTTAGATAGATCAAGACCAAAGCATTCAGGTTTTTAAAAATCTGTGAGCTAGTCAATGAATAAAACCCTTCCTACAATCTAATGCTACTTGTAGTCGATGAAACATACTTCGATTAGATTTAGATTGTGTCCCAAAACCCGTGGCTAAGAGTGGGTCTAGTGGTGATAATAACAACTATTTAGCACTAAATATTATAATATAGTAATAACACAATTAATAGCAGCATATGTTATGTGCGGGATATTTCTAAATGTTTTACTTTGTTTTAAATTGTTAAAAAGGACTATACGGTAGATCATATTGTTGTCACAGTTCACGATATGGAAACTGAGGCAAAGGGAGGTTAAGCAACTTTAATGATGTCATACCTCCATAAACATTAGAGATGCATCCTCATCTAAAAGAGTTTAACTTCAGGGTTGTACAAGATAAGGTCTGGACTGTTGGATGCATATTGTCTGACTCTAATTCCAGAATGGATGCAGACTTCAGTGGTACCTGGAGTAGCATTAATAAAGTACTTCCTTGAGACTTAGAGAATGATTGGAAAGCAAAAGAGTTTTAAAGGCTTGAAGAAAGAAGCAGATTTATAAAAAATCAAGTCAGGAGTGTGAATAGAGGTTCTCAAAATGTTCAGGCAAAGAGGGCTGGTTTTTGGTTGATGGAAGTGTTTTACAGAGTCAAGTGGCCTGTTGATGAGAAGATCACCCCAGAATTGTCCTCCGCATCGACAGCATCATCATTTGTATTTAGAAAAATGGTACTGATACTCTGAGGGGTCAGAATCTGGGCCCTGTTCATCTGTACCGTTGTGGTTGTCCTTCTACCTGCAGTGCTGGGGTTACTTGAGTATTGCTCTTTGAGGCAGATTCAGGGCTCCTGGAAAGGTCCCTAAGCAGCAAGGGAAAGGTGTGCTTACTCTGATCAATTCTTCATTTTAGCCTAATCCCATCATCTACTAAGGGAGACAGTTAGGCACATTTGGGAAAGAAACTGAGAAATGGGACCACAGGTTTCTGTTTTGTTCCTGACACAAGACAAAAGTCTTGTGCCAAATGCCATTAACTGAATCGAAATGATTGGAAAAAGAGAACACAGCAATACAATTCTATGACCAAGGATAGAAATTCTACACTCAGGCTGAAACAACAGCCTTTTCCGACCTGACCACCCAGGTAAAAGGTGACCAACATGAATTTACACATCCACTCATATAGATGATGAATTTTACCCAAATGGGATGGTATATGTTAGTAAACCATTTAGAAAGATATTTAGAAGATATAAACTAACAAATATTTGAATTACAAAAGTAAAATTTCCCTTACTTGTTGAAAAAAATGTTGCATTTGTATATATACTCAAAACTCAGTGGCTAACTATACTAAGCATTTATTTTCCTATTCATAGGTGTTCATGATAGCAATTATCTGGTTGATCAAGGAAGGGCTTAGCAGGGTGTTTCTGCTGCAGGGCACTGAGCTTGTTTCCGACTTTGGATTGTGTTTGATCTGGGAACAAGGGCAGAGCCTATCCAAGGCACATTTCTTTGGCAGGTAGCAGAAGTAAACAAATTTTCAAGCAAAGCTGAACAGGCAATGTACATCTAATGATCAGTAACACAGATGCACACAATTCTAATTTATTTTTTCACTTTGTTAATTCCTAAAATTTCTAAAAATGTTCACTGTATTTAACTATAAAGTTATTTGCATCAATGATGGAGAAATAATTATGTTTCCAAGTTTACATATTAAAATATTTCCAAATATTTGCATGGTTAGAAATAATGCTGGATATTGTTGTTGGTGGTTTTGGTGTTGTTTGAGACAGGAGTCTTACCCTGTTACCCAAGCTCAAGTGCAGTGGTGTGATCTCAGCTAACTGCAACATCTGCCTCCCAAGTTCAAGCTATTCTTGCGCTTCAGCCTCCTGAGTAGCTGGGATTGTGGGCATGCACCACCATGCCCAGCTAATATTGGTATATTTAGTAGAGACGGGGTTTCCCCATGTTGGCCAGACAAGTATCATCTGGCCTCTAGTGATCGTCCCACCTCAGCCTCCCAGAGTGCTAGGATTACATACAGGAGCCACCACACCAGGGCCTGGATGTGTTTTTAACATGTGGCTTTAATGTAAATGGTCTTATTGTGCAAAAACACATTTAAAATAAATGTCTTCTAAAACATAGCTTTTAACACTCCTGTAGATTACTTGCATGCTTTTTAAAATGTAGACTGTTATGCAATATGTCTAAGATGCACCTGCTACTTTGCATTTGTATCACACTCACAGTGATGCTGATGATAGAGAAGACAGACAATGGTGCTGTCCATGCAGGCAGGTGACATTTCCTTGAGTAATCCTCTTATGGACACACACTTGCTTCTGTATAACACTCTCATCTACCCAAAGTCAGGCCCTCTTCTCCTCAAAAGTTTTGGGAACCTTTATTCACACAGCTGAACCCTCATGTCTGGCTGGCATCTGGACACATTTTGAGTAGCAAAGTGCTTTCATGCCAAGGAAACAATATATCATATGCATGTATAGATGTTCTTGTTTGTTTTGCAAGAAAAGTTGTTTCATTTATCAAATAATTTCTATGTATCTAAGCAAGTTTCTCATTTTTCTGTTTATTTTATGACTGAATGAAGTGTTCTTGTAATGATCTCAGACTTGCTAATATTATGTGGGAGCACAAGCAAATGTATCCTGAAGCCAACCATAACTGGAAAATTCAAAGACTCTGGAAAATATTGACCTCACTTGGCTGCCAGCTCCTAATTCTCCATATTCACTATCATTTCTAAAAGCACACTTCCCCAAACCCCTTTGTCTTTCTGTGGTTCTTGTGTAGTTACTCAAAGAGGAGCCTACCAATTATATTTGAAAGTAAGAAGGCAGTGACACCTGCAGGCAGGCATGCAGACTGAGGTGAAGACTGGAGAATCACCTGGAGAGGTGCCACGTCAACTGACAGCACCAGCACCCTTATATCTGAACTTCCTAGATGGAGGAGAAGACCACATGGTTAGATAGCCCATGAGTTGAGGAGCAAATGAACTCTGGCTTCTGGCAGACCAACAGAGATTTCCCTGTTTCTAGTGTCAGCTTCCCGACTACCATATCTCCTGGCTTGTATTTGCAAATCAAGATGGTCATTATTAAAAAGTCAAAAAACCAAACCACAACAAACAGATGTTAATGAGACTACAGAGAAAGCCAATGCTTATAATTCCCTTTTGGGAGGAGTATAATTAGTTCAGCCACTGTGGAAAACATTTGGCAATTTCTCAAAGAACTTAAATCAGAACTACCATTCAATTTTATATACAAAACATCCTTTTGTATGTATAGCAAAAGGAGTATAAATCATTCTATTATAAAGGACATATGCACATGTATGTTCATTGCAGCACTATTCACAATACCCAAAGACATAGAATCAGCCTAAGTGCCCATCAATGGTAGATTGTATAAGAAAATGTGACACACACATACCATGGAATATTATGCAGCCATTAAAAATAATATATAATGTCTTTTGCAGCAACATGGATGGAGCTAGAGACCATTATCCTAAGTGAACTAATGCAGGAATAGGAAACCACATCCCCTGTGTTCTCACTTATAAGTGGGAACAAACACTGAATACATATGAGCACAAAGAGGGACCAATGAACACCAGAGCCTACTTGAGGGTGGAGGGTGAGAGGAGATAAGGATAAAAAAATAACCTATCAGGTACTATACTTATTACCTGGGTGATAGAACAATATGTACACCAAACCCCCACAAAATGTGATTTATCTATAGAACCAACCCACCCATGTACCCCTGAAACTAAAATAAATTATAAATAATTAAATATATGAAAGTTATAAAATAAAGCAATTTCTTCTTGAAATTGGTAGTTTCTTTTGAGTAGTTTCTCTTGTGATGTATGACCTGGACAGATGCAATAACTGAAATTCCTCAGGTATTATAATTGCTGTTATTTATTAAATCACGAAGACAGTGTCATGTCTGTGCTGCTGAGGCTGAGGAAGAAAAAATAGAGTTAGAATGCAGAAGAGCCTTCCTAAACCTTCAAACCCTGGCTTAATTTAAAAAAGGCTGTCAGCAGAGAAAGGCACCATAAGAAGCAGCTGGGGTAGCCGAGCCTCACACTTCTGTTTCCCTGGCGGTTTATGTTAGGGCTTGTAACACTGTGGGAGGGAGATTATCATACTGTTGACAGTAATATGTTGCAATATCTTCAGGCTGCAGGCCGCTGATGGTGAGAGTAAAATCTGTCCCAGATCCACTTCCACTGAACCTTGATGGGACCCCTGTTCCCAAATTTGATGCCCTATAGATCAGGAGCTTAGGGGCTTTCCCTGGTTTCTGCTGATACCAGGCTAACCAGCTGCTAATACCCTGACTTGCCCGGCAAGTGATGGTGACTTTGTCTCCTACAGATGCAGACACGGAGGATGGAGTCTGAGTCATCTGGATGTCACATCTGGCACCTGAGAATGGAAACGTAAATACAAATATTCATACTATTAATCATGTTATAGGAAGACTTCCCTGAAAATCCAGGCTGTACTGAGCACACTGGGCTGAATAAATTCCTTGTGTTCTCCTTCCTTACCTGGGAGCCAGAGCAACAGGAGCCCCAGGAGCTGAGTGGGGACCCTCATGTCCATGCTGTGTCCTGACTGGGTCTGACTGCTGCACAGGGTGTGACCAGCCTATTAAGAAGTCTTCAAGGCTGGGGGCTGTGCTCTGGGAACATGCAAATCAGCAGGGGATGGGGCAGGCTGGGCACAGCTGCAGGGCTGGCTTATCTCAGTAACTCAGCACAGGGACAGTGTCCCCAGGGTCCCAGGTCAGACCAGGGCAGCACAGACTTGTCTGGAGGAAAAGTATTTCTCTCTAGAGGCCCTATAGTTACAAAAGAGATTTTTGAGGCAATTGCCAAAACTTAAAATGAATATAAGGTCTAGATTAAATAATGTCTTTTTTATTGTATTGGAAGTACGTAGGAAAGCGTCATTGTTTGTAGGCAATGCATAATAAAGTCTTAGAGGGTTGCAGTATCATGATTTCACATTACTCTTAACTAGATTCAGCAGATATAAAAATCTTCTATGCTGTAGTAACATTTCTGTCCATGTGAAATCGCTTTCTTTCACATGAAAGAAATGAAAAGAAAGATTATATAAGCAGCACTTTAGTATATGGAAAAGTACAATATACTAAAGTGCTGATTATATAATCTTATGTGAGTACCAGCATAATGTCAAGCAATTCACTTTCAGTGCACAAAGATGATACCATGATTCCTAAATGCAGGCATCACTCACAGATAAGCCAATATCCAAAGCTATAGGACTCTTTAATATTTAGGGACTAAATGCACTGCACTTTACACTTTGGGAGGCTGAGGAGGATGAATCACCTGATGTCAGAAGTTCGAGACCAGCCTGGACAATGTGGTGAAACCCTGTCTTTACTAAAATACGAAAATTAGCTGGGTGTGGTGATGCATGCCTATAATCCCAGCTACTTGAGAGGCTGAGGCACAAGAGTCGCTTGAACCCAGGAGGCAGAGGTGGCAGTGAGCAGAGATTGGGCCACTGCACTCCAGCCTGGGTGACAGGCGAAGACTCCATCCCAACAATAATAATAATAATGATAATTCAAATTTTTAAAAAAGGCATATAGGACCTAATTAAACTAAAGAGCTGCTTCTGCACAGCCAAAAAAAGAAAAAGAAAAAAGAAAAAAGGAACCTATCAGCAGAGTAAACAGTGAAAAAGAAATGTTTAAAAACTACACATCCTGCAAAAATCTATTAGTTAGACTCTTAAAAAGAACTTAAACAATTTAACAAGCAAAAAATAAATAAGCCCTTTAAAAAGTGGGCAAAAAAAATGGACAGATACTTCTCAAAAAACAGAACAGACAAGCAGCCAACAAACATATCAAAAAAGTGCTCAGCATCACTAATCATTAGAGAAATGTCAATCAAAACCACTACGAGATACTGTCTCACATCAGTAAGAATGGCTATGACTATAAAGTCAAAAAACAAAAATCAAACAAAAAACAGATGGTGGCAAGGTTGTGGAGAAAAAGGGACACATATAAACTGTTGGTATAAATGTAAATTAGTTCAGCCACTGTGGAAGTCAGTTTGGATATTTCTCAAATAACTTAAAACAGAATTATTCAATCCAGTAATCCTATTACAAGGTATATACTCCCCAGCAAAAAAATAAATTCTTCTATCAAAAAGACACTTGCACTTGTAGGTTTATTGCAGTACTATCCACAATAGCAAAACATGAAATTGACCTAGATGCCCATGAATTGTGGAGTGGATAAACAATACAGTATGTATATACTATGGATTACTACACAGTCATAACAATAATGAAAGATATCCTTTGCAGTAACATGGATACAGTTGGAGGCCGTTTTCTAAAGTGAAGTAATACAGGAACAAAAACCAAATACTGCATCTTCTCACTTACAAGTAGGAGCAAAACACTGAGTACATACAGAGGTGGAAGCAACAGACATTGGGGAATACTAAAGGGAGAGGGAGGGAAGGAGGGGGTTATTATTGAAAAACTACCCGTTGTCTACTGTGCTTACTACCTGGGTGAAGGGATAATTTTTATCCCAAATCTCAGCATCATGCAATATACCCACATAACAAAACTGCACAGGTACTCTCTGATACCTAAAATAAAAGTGTAATTTTTTTAAAAAAGCAATTTGTTGACAGTACTCTGTATGTTTAAAAGTAAAGGAAATTGTTCTCATTTTTCTGAAGAGGATTTTTCATTAACTCTAAGTACAACCAAGTAGTATTATTTCTCCTAGAGTCTATATTTTGCATGTCCCCTTTCTTGCATTGCCATGGAGACCTAAATAAAATAAAAAAGTAAAAGGACCAGTTGAAGAATCTATCTCTGGCTGAAAGGAACTTCACTTCTCCATTGGAAAACAAGTTTGAACTTGCCTATTGCCTCTGGAGAAAATACTAGAGAGAAGCATTCGCCGAAAGTCTTTCTTCTTTGGATCCTGGGAAGAATCCAGAGCTCTGAGAGCTATCTGAAAGGGGAAACTAGTGATTCTGAGCTTTACATCCAAACGGTTTGATTACAAAATTGAATCACCACCTAGAATGGCTGGTGCTCCTTCCAGGTGTCAAATCCTCTCAGTACAGGAAAGAAGGAAATATCCCACAGATAGTCCTGCTGGTTGGTAAGGACTGGGAAGCTGCCCCTTTTCTGAGCCCCCTAAAAATGCCTGTTGATGTGTGTGCCTGTTGTTCCACTTCGGGTTATTATAACTGCTTGTGTTCCTTCTTCCACCTTCCTCCTATTCCCTTTCCCTGAGAGCTGGGACTGTGCTATCTTGTTCTTCATTCCTTAGGTAACTGGGGTGCCCACATAGCATGATAGGAACTCAGTGGGGAAAAGGTGTGCAGAAATCATTTCTGCTGATTGTTTGGTCCTCCAGTCTTTGAAGTGGAATATGACAATCCTCTGGGTGTCAAATGAATGTCATCGAGATTCTTAAATTTTTCTCCATTCCAAAAGCATACGTGAACAGAAATCAATTCACCTCCTCATTGGTGGTGGAGTGGAAAGAGAGTGGAGAAAAATGACCTTCAATAACAGCTTGGAGATCTCCATTATCCAAAAAGGACTTTGTGTGTTTCCCTTTCTCTCCCAGTTCCCATCAATTTCTTTTTCAGCTGGGCTTCTGCATCTCTTGCACGCCAGGTGTGCCTTTGGCTCCTGAACCTCAGGCAGCCTAAGGGTTTTTAAGCTCAACAGGCTCAGTGCCCAATATTTTTTCAAATGTGGAACCCAGGGTAGTGTGGATAACCAGGTTGAGTGGGTTCAGGTGTGCATGTGGAGAAAGAGACAAGTCTTGAGCCCTCAAAAGCTCTTGAACAGGCAGCTCTCCTCCTGGACAGTGGGACCTAATTAAACTAAAGATCCAGAGCTCAGCTTGATTCTAGTTTGGTGGCCTCATAGGCCAAAACCATTTTGAGTGGAAAGAGGAATTATGCACATTTCTGGAGTGACAATGGCACCCACAAACACTCAACATTTTCAGGCTGCATTCAAGTATCTCCAATGTCCATTTTGAGGACAAAAAGATATCACTAAGCTGGCCTGCATGAACCTCCTGTGGGATGGGATGAATCTAGCTGCTATAAAAACGTCAGAGATTAAGGGAAGGCCATGTTAAAATGTCTGGTCTCAGTGGAGCCTATTTACTTTGGGTTTGGAAGCTATTTCCAAAACAAACAAGATACAAGCACACTAAAGAATTAACAGAGCATATCATTTTACCCTTAGCCAAGTGGGGTACTTCGGGCTTCAAAATATTGCTACCCACAGGCCTCCCAAGTTTTAAAATTTATGTACCTCACCAGATATTTTTGACAAATTAATTTTAACCTAAATTAAGCAAATCCTTTTTTGTATTATAATTATTGACATTTAAAAAAATGAAACTGGGGGTTGCAAGCAAGAAGCCTGTTGTAGTAAGTAAGAAAGGAAAGAAGGCTGCTGTTGGTGTTAAGAAGCAGAAGAAACCTCCAGTAGGAAAAAAGGCAGCAGCTACCAAGAAACCAGCCCTTGAAAAGAAGCCAGCAGAAAAGAAAGCCCCTACAGAGGAAAAGAAGCCTGCTCCATAAACTCTTAAGTTTGATTATTCTCTAAAGGTCAAATCATTTTGGACAGCTTCTTTTGAATAAAGACCTGGTCAAACAGGCAGAGAGAGAGAGAAAAAAAAAGAAACTGATGCATCAGTCTTGAATATATCAAAGATTCTAAGTTTTGAATATTTTGATAGTTATTATTTATGAAAATAAATATATGAACAAGCAAAACAAAAACACTAAGAAGGAGGGGGAACTTGCAGCACCACTTTGGTGTGGAGGAGATGCATACAAACCCCAGACACTATGTCTTCTCCAAATGTTGTATCTGTTGTGTCTGTTTCTTAACTACAATTCTGTTTTTACTATCTTGGAGGAGGAAAGAATTAAGAAGCACAAGGGGCTGTTTTATACTTGGGACATCAAAAGAGAAATGGAGATGGAGCAGAATTTGTGAACTCTTCCAAGTCCTTTGGGTTTCTTTAGCCATGGACACAGCAGAATCAAGATGTCAGGGAAGCCCATTGCTTATTATGGCTCCTGTCTTTCATGCCTCAGACTCCCACAAACATACACACACATACGATAATACGTTTCTTTTCCTAAAGATGACGTCTACGGCCAATCCATGCTCTTTCCCTTAAGTATCCTTTCTGGATAAATTAAAATAATTTTAGAAGAAATTCAAAGAAATACAGCAATGGCTTAAGCAAAGATAAGACCTCCAAAAGTTGGAGCGTTTAGCATTGATGCAGCATCTTGGTAACAGCAGAAAGTATCCAGGTTCTTTCCGCATTTCTAGTTCGCACTTTTATCACGTTAGATTTTCAGTCTTGGGCTTAATATCCCATAATCTCAAAATGGCTGCAGCGATGCTAAGAGTTATGTCCACTCCTAACTGTTGCAGGGAAAAAAAAACGCTGGTGTCCTATACATCAAAGGAGGAGGAAATCGCTGCTATGTAAGGGCCAGTGACTTTGCCACGTTTAAATTTCACTATGTGTCTAACTTAAATTATAGGGGGAGGAGAGATCACAATGGCTTTTATACCGGGTGGGGGTTGGAACAAGCCAGGCTCTGAGGATGACA